TTCTCCTCTTCTGTGTGTATGTTCAAATCTTACTCTGTCTCCCTTTTATGAGGATACATGGGATTCATTTAGGACCCACCCAGATAATCCAGGATAATCTCCCAATCTCAGAATCCTTAACTTAATCACATCTGCAAAGTCTTTTTTTTTCTTGCCATACAAGGTAACATTGGCAGGTCCCAGAGATTAGGATATGTATATCTTTGGGGGGAGGCATTATTTAGCATATCATAGTATTGTTATTCTGAAATGCATAAATATAGTAGGCTAATGCAGATTACTATGTTAATGTCATAGTTTTCCTTTCAGCTGTAAGGGAAAAACATATAACTGTAAATTGAATCAGTTAGATAAAAACCCCTGTAGTCATAAATTTGATTGGAAATACCAGTATGAACGAATATGTTTTGACTTTTAAAAAAGTGTTTTCTAGCCCTGTCCCATTGAAAAGACCTAGAAACAATGAGCAACCTAGTAGCAATGAACACCCCTAGTACTCAGGTTGTGGTCTCTAAACATTGTTTCTCATGGAAAGTGATCAGGGCTCCTTGGAGGGTGAACTAATTCCAGGTCTGGGGCAAGAAAACTGTAAGGTGATCCTGGACCATCTTGTCATTTCAGATAGCAGACTGTGTCAAAATGAGTCAACAGCCAATATAAAAAGGCTTCCTTTGGCCAAAGATGGGAAAAATTGAACATCAGTAAGAACAATACCTGCAATAGATTGAAACATATCAAATATGTTTAAAAGCTTGAATTCATAATAATACGTACGAAAATTCATTGATCATCTTGTATGCTAGGGAACTAATTCATTAGTTTGAAAATTGGTATAAGAATCAAGCATTTATCCTACCTTTCCTATATAAACTGTACTTCAGGAAAACCCTATAGTTGATAAGGGGGAAAGTTCTCTTTACACAAATATTTCAGATAACAAGTGAAGAAAGAATAATAGAATTAGATCTAGGCACTGATCATAAGTCATAGAAATGAGAGACAGCCAATCATTATTGTTTCCTGATGGAAGTACACAAACATCTGTTAAGTGTTCGTGCCAAAAAAACTTTAATCTGAATCTGAAATGCATAAATATAGTCAGGTCTCTAGATCTGACTACTGATTTATAAAAAATAACTGTTAAAGGACACCATGGGGGTCCAATCAGCAAAATCTAGACAGTGGGTGACTTAAGACAAACTGCTTGGTTTGTTCAGCAAATAAACTCCAAGGAAAAAATTAAAAGGAGGGGAGGCTTACAGATTAAAAGAGCCTTACGAGATGTACCAACCAGTAAGAATATATGGACCTTATTTGTGTACTGATTGAACAACCAAACTATAAAAAATATTTTGAGACAATTGGGGAAATTTGAACACTGACTGGATATTTGATGATATTAGGGAATTATTAATTTTTTAAAGTACAGTATTGGTATTATAGCTATGTTTTAAAAGTCCTTGTCTTTTTACAGATAATGTATTGAAGTGCTTATGAGTAAAAGAATATGAAGTCTGTATTTGCTTTAATACAATCTGGGAAAGGGTAGTGGTTGGGGTACAAATGAAATAGGATTGCTTTTTTTTTAAAAAATAGATGAAGTTTTACACAACAAACTAGCTTCTCATTAAACAATTAGTACACATACTGTTTTGTGATATTGGTACCAGCCCCACGACATGTCAACACTCTCCCCTTCTCCACCTTGGGTTTTCCGTTACCAGCTTTCCTATCCCCTCCTGCCTTCTAGTCCGTGCTGGTGTGCCCCTTTAGTCTCGTTTTGTTTTATGGGCCTGTCTAATCTTTGGCTGAATGGTGAACCTCAGGAGTGACTTCATTACTGAGCTAAAAGGGTGTCCAGGGGCCATACTCTCGGGGTTTCTCTAGTCTCTGTCAGGCGAGTAAGTCTGGTCTTTTTTTGTGAGTTAGGATTTTGTTTCTGCATTTTTTTCCAGCACGGTCCATTGTAATCCCTGTCAGAGCAGTCAGTGGTGGTAGGTGGGCACCATCTAGTTGTGCTGGACTCAGTCTGGTGGAGGCTGTGGTAGTTGTGGTCCGTTAGTCCTTTGGACTAATCTTTCCTGTGTGTCTTTGGTTTTCTTCATTCTCCCTTGCTCCCAGAGGAGTGAGACCAGTGGACTGTTTTAGATGGCTGCTCACAAGCTTTTAAGACCCCAGACACTACTCAGCAAAGTAGAATGTGGAACATTTTCTTTTTTTTTTTTTTATTGTACTTCAGGTGAAGGCTTACAGAACAAATAGTTTCTCATGAAATAGTAGTACACATATTGTTTTATGACATTGGTTAACAACCCCACAACATGTCAACCCTCTCCCTTCTCGACCTTTTTTTTTTGGTGAAAATATACATAGCCAAAGATACACCATTTCAAAAATTTCTGCATGCACAGTTAAGTGACATCGACTACGCTCTTCCAATTGTGCTGCTATTCTCACTTTAGATGAAGGCTTACAGAACAAAGTAGTTTCTCATTTAACAGTTAGTACACGTTGCCCTATGACAATGGTTAACCTCACAACACATCAACACTATCCTTACTTAACCTTGGGTTCCCTATCACCAGCTTCCCTGTCCCCTTCTGCCTTCTGGCCCTTGTCCCTGGACTGCTGTACCTCATTAGTCCCATTTGGTTTTATGGGGCTGTCCACTCCCAGGCTGAACGGTGAACCTTGGAGATGACTTCACTGCTGAGCTGAAAGGGTGTCTGGGGGCCATACTCTCAGGGTTTCTCCAGTCTCATTTAGGCCAGTAAATGTGGTCTTTTTTTTGTGAGTTACGATTTTGTTCTACATCCTTCTCCAGCTCTGTCCAGAACCCTCTGTTGTGATCCTGGTCAGAGCAGTCAGTGGTGGTAACCGGGCACCATCTAGCTGTGCTGGACTCAGTCTGGTGGAGGCCTTGGTAGCTGTGGTCCATTAGTCCTTTGGACTAATCTTTTCCTTGTATCCTGTTCTCTTCATTCTCCCTTGCTCCCGAAGGGATGAGACCAGTGGAGTATCTTAGATGGCTGCTCACAGGCTTTTAAGATGCCAGACGCTATTCACCAAGGTAGAATGGAGAACATTGTCTGTAAACTGTGTTATGCCAGTTGAGCTAGATGTTCCCGGAGACCATGGTCCCCACAGCCGTCAGCCCAGTAAGGATTGACCATGATTTGATAATTGTTGAAGCTGAACATAAAGGGCACATGGGTGTGTATTTTATTAGGTTGAACTATAAGAATTTTTTTTTTTAACTGTGACAAAAATATATTTAATAAAACATTTGCCAGGTCAACAATTTTTACATGCATGTATAATTCAGTGACATTGATTATTTTTGTTATGTTGTGCAACCATTACCATTATCCTTTTCCAAATTATTCCACCACCATTAACAGAAACTCATTGTCCCCTAAGCAGTGGCTCTCCCTTTCCTCCTCCCTCCCACCACTAATCAGGTTTAGTTGCTATACATTTGCTTATTTCATGTAAGTGGGATCATACAATATTTGCCCTTTTGTGACCGACTGACTTCATTCAGCTTAATGTTTTCAAGATTCATCCATGTCTTGGCATGTATCAGGACTTCATTTCTCTTTGTGGCTGTGTAATATTGCATTGTATGTATATAGTAGATTGCCGTTTTTATAGGTCAAGACAGTTACATTTCCCCAGCGTCATGTAGTTCAGCCTAATGCCATCCTCTCTACTTTTAAATATGTTTGAAATAGTCTCTAATAAAGAAGTTAAACAAAATGCAAAATGGAAACAAAATAATAAAAATATTTAAAATACAATTGGAAATTTAGACTGACACATTTGGAACTGACACATTTGCAACATATTAAGGAACTGTTAATTTTTAAAAGTATAATAATGATACTGTGGTTATATTTTTAAAAGAGTCTATTAACTAAGAAAAAAGTTGTAATATTTTAGAGATATATACTGAAGCATTTATTAAGTTAAAATGATATAACGCCTGGGATTTGCTTCAAAATAATCTGGTGGTGGGGGGCGGTGAGAGTATGGAAAAAACAAAACGTGGCCATGAATTGGTAATTTTTGTAGCTGGATGACGGGTTCATGAAGTTTGTTATACTGTCTTTACTTTAGAATAAGTTTGAAATTGTCCATAATCAAAGGTTTAAAAAGAAAAAAGAAAGCCAGAATTTAGTCCAGTTATGTGTGACTTCAGAATGTTAACTCTTAGCCAGTACACCTACTACCATTGTTTTGCATAATGTGTTTCTGTCGCCGTACAAGGGGATTTCTGTGGCACCTGGAAAGCATTTTTCATTCTAATAATTCTGTGTTCATTTTAACATTATCTTCTGTTTATGGCAATAAAACTACTGCAAGTTTTCCATTTATAGACGTGATATAAAACATACTTTTTTTTCCCCATATGAAAATTTATACATTGTTATGTGACCCTAATTGCTCTTCCCCATACTGTGACAGCATACTCCTCCTTTCCACCCCTGATTCCCCATGTCCATTCAACCAGCTCCTAACCCTTTCTGCCTTTCCATCTCACCTCCAGACAGAAGCTGCCCGTTTAGTCTCTTGTATCTACCTGAGCTAAGAGGCACACTCCTCACGAGTATCACTATGTCCCACATTCCAGTCCAATTCCTGTCTGAAGAATAAAACATACTTTTAAAATATGCTTAAGCAAAAAATTAATTGACTTAAAAGGAAAATATTCCATAAATAATAGTACTGGTGGTATTCAGATATGACAAAAATTGTATGGTATGAGGAGAATGAAGTTTGAACTTTCAGTATGCTGTACCGATCCCACTGGTGCAAATGGTGAAATGGTAAAATGAAGAAGCGTTTTATAAGCTTTGCTTATATGTGTAGTATCTACATTTGGATGCCTCCAGACTCTTGAAAGAAGGCGTATTTTATATAAAATCCTATAGCTATATATATCTTCAAAGGCCTCAACCCTTGTAAGAAATTACAGAGGACATTTTTTGTTGTTACAGAATGTCATACCCAGGCTATCCTCCCACAGGCTACCCACCTTTCCCTGGATATCCTGTAAGTATTGCCACACTCAGACAGCATACATCCCTGGAATGGTTGTTGTAAAGGACTAGCCCATGACAGATCTCACAAATAATGCTAGAGCAGGGGTTATAAACGCAAATGCCCAGAGGGACTGAGTAGAATGAGTGAAGGTGGGCATTGTGGGGCAACTGGAGCACCCTTGCCTCATCTATGGCAAGCCAGGGGCCACTCAGCTGTAACCGGCTGTGGCCATGCAGGAGGCAGACCTGGTGTGGCTAGATGTTCCAGTTCTTCAAGTAAAGCCAGAAATCTGGATTTTATGTGAAATTGTGCAAATTTTTAAAATTGGAAATCAGAAAAAATGTTAAACACTGTATGGGCCATGAAACATATCTGTAAGCTCAATCTGTCCCATGAATCACCGTTTTTAACCTTTGTGTTGGAAGATTTTAAAAAATTTTCAAAGGGCTTGCTCAGGGATCACAAATTCCAATAGATTAGTGGGCCCTGGATTTGTAGTTCTGAGACTTCTAGTATTTGGAGTACGTTTTATAGAGGTACTGTTAAGTTCCAACTTGCTAATGTCTGTACTACTATGAAGACTAAACTCATAGCTGAGATGTAAGAATTGTTCATTTCAGTTTTACACTTATGTTTGTAGGGCTGCTTTCTGCCTCTGGGAGAATAGAAAGAGAGTTCTATGCAGGTTAATGATAGTTTATGTGTCTTGTTGTAAAGTGAATATGCGGCTCTCCTGAATTTATCATACGGGAGATTAGAATTATGAATGTGTTCCAGAGTCCCCATGTACTAAACTGTACTGTCTGGCAACCATTTCAGTCAGGGTAGACAACCCCAAATCTCAGTGGTTTAACATAATAAAAATCTATTTCTCGCTTACTTCAGTCCCCTGGAAGTCAGTGGTGGGGCGGGGTGTGGTAAGGTGGGAGGATGCTTGTTCCACGCAGCCTCTCAGATTCCCTGGCTCCTTCCATGTGTTGTCTCTACCATCCTCTAGGGCCTTGGAATCCTCCACTGGCAGATGAAGGAAAAGAGAGAGACAGAGTGTGTGGAGGTTTGGGCAGAAGGTCTTTTATGGGCCAGACTGGAAGTGGTATATTTCAGTTCTGTCCACATTCCTTCGCCAGTCTTGTGGCCCTACCTGTATGGGGGTCTGGGCAGTGTAGTCTAGCTTTGTGCCCATGGGAGAAAGTGCTTAGTGAACCCGTCGCAAGCTCTGCTACACTTAGACATTGTCTGGCCTGAACTGAGGTCCAGAAGCAGTAACTTGCCAAAAATGTCACATTCAGTATGATTCAGGTCACCTTTTTTTTTTTTTCCTACTGTGCTGCAATTCCAGGTGTGTTGCAAGAGAGCCACGAGTTCCTCTGTTTATTGTAGAGAGGAAGATCTTTTTCCAGATGCCAGGAAAATAAAGGAACTAAGGAGCTGAGTTTGTTGTCCTGAAGCCTTGATGTTTGGAAGGAACCTGGTTCTAACTCCCAAGTAGAGAAACTGAGGCCTCTTGCCTGACCACGTAGAATTAATTTTAACCAAATTCTGACAAGTATCCTGACAAACTAGTATTCTGATAAACCACTAATAAACAGTTATCTTTCTGTGTTCCTTTTTTAAGATGGGTCATACTTCTCTTTGATCACATTCATTTGAAAATTTTTCTGATTTTTAGCCTGTGGGTCAGGAGTCTTCATTTCCCCCTCCGGGTCAGTATCCTTATCCTGGTGGCTTTCCTCCAATGGGAGGGGGTGCCTACCCACCAGCACCAAGTGGAGGTTACCCAGGAGCTGGAGGCTACCCTGCCCCTGGAGGTTATCCAGCCCCTGGAGGTTATCCTGGTGCCCCACAGCCAGGAGGAGCCCCGTCCTACCCTGGAGGTGAGTTCTGGGACTCAGAATTCGTGATGATAGGTATTGCTGTAGCCCTTTTTCCTTCTCCCCTTTATCCTTTTCATTCCTGCTTGTGTATGGAGTCAGAGTTGCTCTTAGCTTATTCTCTACCTTAGACAGTAATGACTGGGATTTAGAGAGACAAAGATTCTCAAGGGAAATGAAAGCTGAGAGCAGTCTCAAAAAATCCGTGGTGAAGGGAATTGGAATTAATCTCATGGTAATAACGAATCAGTATATAATACTTTGCTTGATTATTTGTAATCATAAGAACTGATTAAGATACTTCAATATTTAGTTAGTATGACTATGACCTTTAGGACAGCTTTGCCCAAAGGTTAAAAGAACTTAACTGATTTTGTGTTGTAAGTAAGGAAGATGAATAAAGTAAAAAAAAATTTTGTTTTTACTGGGGAGGAATTGGTGAGAAGTTGAATTTAGACAAAAGGGACTAGTTGTTATAGCATCAGGGACTGCTGTTACCATAGCATTAATAGCATATTTTTTTCCTATCAATAGTAAACATTTTCTTAAAGTTTTCTCTGAAATTTCGAGAACTGTTTATTTAACCATTCTTTCTCTCCAGTTCCTCCAGGCCAAGGATTTGGAGGCCCACCAGGTGGAGCAGGCTTTTCTGGCTATCCACAGCCACCAGCACAGTCTTATGGAGGTGGCCCGGCACAGGTTCCAATACCAGGTAAGTACCAGCTGTCCAGAGGAACCCAGTGTCATATTTTGAATTTTTCAGTTGTCACTGAGTGAACTTAGTTTATATAAACATTTATAGTAAGTACTGTTGTTGTTGTTGGTTGCTGTCAAGTCGATTCCGACTTGTAGTGACCTCATGTATGCAGAGTAGAATGGCTCCGTAGGGTTTTTAAGGCTGTGACCTTTTGGAAGCAGATCACCAGGCCTGTCTTTTGAGGTGCCCCGGGTGGGTTTGAACTGCCAACCTTTCAGCTAGTAGTAGAGCGCTTAACTGTTTGTGCCACCCAGGGACTCCTTACTAAGTACTACTGTAAATAATTTTAAATATGTGGTTTCATGAAATGTATTAATTTGATGGTAGGCTTACTCACTAAGATGGAGATAAGGACTCACTTTTTTCTATTAAAAAAAAATCTGCCCCAAAGCCGAAAGCAAAACCTTCTATGACTTCTCTTCCCACTCCTATACCACCAGTGAAACAATCCCCAGGACTATATATATCCTGACATCTTTAACATAGGGCATCAACATTTAATCTACTTCAAGTGTTAAAAAAAAAAAAAATTATTTGGATCTTCATGTAGGGCATGGAATATTGCAAGCATATTCTTATGACTAAGATTGGTTTTAGGTTCAGTAGATTATAAAATTACAACATTACAAAATTATCTTAGTGAATAATGTAGTATGAATGTTGTCATATGTTCCCATATTCATAATTATCAAGGCTGTTTTAAAAAATTATATAAGACCTATGTGATTTTTTTTTTTTTTTACCATGTAGGTGGCTTTCCTGGAGGACAGATGCCTTCTCAGTATCCTGGAGGACAAGCTCCTTTCCCCACTCAGGTATTTTTACTCTCACCTTTTGAGTTTAGTCTGGGTAACTGGATAATGCTGACATTGGAGGCGCCCATGAAGCAGAGGAGATGGTCTATAACAATAGCTTAAGAATTTAATCTCTACTTCTGATAGATTCCATGCTCTGTTTGGTCCATCAGCTCTAAGTAGCAGGTCCTCACAGGTGGTAACTTTTTCCTAAATTCACTTGGGCTCTTGGCACTGGTTTTAGTTCTTTTTTCTCTTCACTCATCTCCCTAGCAATTATAACTATGAATTTGGGTGACGGAGTGATTGATATTTCTAGCAGTGTTTTATAAAGGGTGGTTTTCTTGTCCATTTTTAACTTCATAACTTTGCACTCTTCTTTCAGATCAGTACAGAATCCTTTCCTTCCTATCCTGTTTTCTCTCCTGTTTCTTGGGATTATAGCAGTGAAGTGAGTAAGGTTTTTTCATGTTCACTAACCCCTAGGTCCCTTGTATGTGCCTTCATTTGTTTCTGAGGTCTCATGTACTTGTCTCTCACCATTTCCTAGAGGGCTCAACTGTATCTCTTTTATAGTTATGTCCCTGTAGTGCCTGATAAAGGAGGCTGCTGGTGCAGTGGTTAAAGCTCTCGGCTGCTACCAACCGAAAGGTCAGCAGTTCGTACCGCCGCTCCACGGGGAGAAAGATGTGGCAGTACGCGCCTGTAAAGATTTACAGCCTTGGAAACCCTACGGGGCAGTTCTGCTCTCTCCTATAGGGTCACTATGAGTTGGAATTAACTCGAAAGCAGTAGGTTTTTTGGTTTTAGTGCCTGATAGGGCTTTAAACATGGTAGCCAATTAATGTCTGTTGAATTAATTTCTCAGTAGCCCCAGATGGCTCCCCATATATTGAATCTTTGCCTCATCTCTGTATAGTTCCTTATTTTAACACTAAATTTCATTCTGTAATTGCCTTGTTAATTCCTTGTTGTCTCATGCAAGGTACTTCTAATGTAAACTGTATACTCTTATGCTTACCTTTATCTTGATTTTCTCATTGGTTTCCATACTGTATATTCATGATGATTTGGCATTTTTAGGCTTGTTTTGGGCTTGGGTAGGATAAAGATTACAGTAGTAGCAGCAGTTTTTTTTTGGCTTACTCTCCTAATTTGAGGCATTTGAGCTCTAGAGTGGTTAAGAAACTTATCCAAGGTCACACAGCTAGGGAAAGACAAAGTGGAGACTAGCTCCGAGCTCCCTGACTCCCAGACCAGTAGTCTCTGTTACACAGCGCTGCTTTTCCAGTACAGTAAGTGATATTCCTGCAAAGCACATAGTAAATTGCTTTCAATTTTTTTTTTATTGTTGAAGTTGATTGTTAATGATATTATAAATCTGTAGCCATTTTAATCATTTTTGGTATGAGAATATTTAATTTGAGCATGCATATAGTTTAATTTAAAGACATCATTTTATGGCTTAATATACAAGATTTTTAAACATAACACACTAAAAGTAAAATACGTACACATATATATGTAACTTGTGTAACAGTTACCACCTTAAGATAGAATGGTAGATTTTGGAAGGGCTTTTAGATGGAAGTGGAATAGGCTACTTTGTGAGGGATGAACTCCTTGTTACTGAAGATGCTCAAGTAGAGGTTGGTTGGTGTGTGTGTGTATGTGTGTGTGTGTGAGAGAGAGAGAGAGAGAAAAGAATGATGTACAGAAAATTCCTGTCTTAGGTGGGCAGTTGGGCTAGGTAACCTCTCCTAATTGATCCATATCTCTTAATTCTAGAACAGTTTTTTAGCAGGAAAGTTGGGATCGAATGGGAATCAAAGGGTGGAACTTGTAGTGGCAGAATAGTATGGGACTTTGCTGTATTGAGAAATTTCCCCAGTTAGAGTTCTGACCTCATGAACAAGACCCCTGACTTCTTTGCATTCGTAATTATGCCTGGATGATGGTAGTGATCTCGAAGATTCACTTTAAACTTAGACTTCCAACAGACAATAAATCATGTTTTCCCCTATAGATGAAAAATGGAATGGATTTCTTTTTTTTTAGAAAGAAGATGACAAAAAGTGAGACTCATCAAACAGTACACGATGAGTTAGTTTCTCTTGCTGTCTAGTTCAGTGTATTATAAACTAAGCTCTGCCATGCTTAAGATTTAATGACAGTGGTTACAGCAAAGGAAACTTTCTTGGTTTCTTGATACTTGTACGGCTCAGATAAAGGGAATATGTTAAATATATGTTGTGTGTGCCGTTGATTAGATTCCAACTTATAGCGACCTTATATGACAGAGTAGAACTACCCCATAGGGTTTCCTAGGCTGTAATCTTTACAGGAACAGGTCTTTTCTCTGGTGGAGCCACTGGTGGATTTGAACCACTGACTTTTTGGTTAGCAGCCAAGCGCTTTAACTTTGTGTTACTAGGGCTCCAGAAAAAATATGTATACCTGACTATTTCCTACATGGAGAGTAATTTTAATTTTTTCTTAAAAACCACTGTATGACTATTTCTAGTTACAATTGTTTGCTTATTTTTCTGGCTCAGAAACTGGTGGAAGATGTTTGTTAAGGATTATTGGTAGAAAATAATGTCAGGGTAAGAAGTATGTATGTGTAGGGGGGATTATTGACCATAAAAATATTTTCTTGAAAAGCTGCTGAAAGATATCCTCTTCTCCCCCCAGTTATTTTACCCCCACAAGTACTAGCATATTGCTATACTCAGTAGGTATAACTTTAAGTACAATTTCAGTTACCTAAAAAGCAGCGGAATAATTTTATACTTTGAAGTGATATTGATTACATGTTGAAATGATATCTTGGATATATTTAATTAAATAAAGTATATTATTAAAAAGAAAAAAAGTGGTAGAATAACATTTCATCCCTCTAAGCCTTGGCTTGAATATTTTAAGAAAACTGTGCCATTGTTTCATAGCTTTTAACTACAAATAGTTAAAATTTTTTAACTTTTAATTTTGTAATAATTTCAAACTTACAAAAAAGTTGCAAAAATAGTACAAAAAATTCCTGTATGCCCTTCATTCAGATTCCTCAAATGTTAACGTCTTACATAAACACAATACAATTACCAAAATCAGGAAATAACACTGATAAAATTCTGTTACCCCATTTACAGACCTTATGCGGATTTCATCAGTTGTCCCACTGATGTCCGTTTTTGGTTCAGAATCCAATCAAGGATCAAAGGTTGCATTTGTAGTCATGTCTCTTAAGTTTCCTTTAATCTGAAACGGTTCCTTAGTCTTTGTCATTCATAACCTTGACCCTTTTGAAGAGTGCTACCAATTATATTGTAGAATATCCCTTAACGTGGGTTTGTCTGATATTTCCTCATGATTAAATTCAGATTTGCCTTTTTGGCAAGCATACCACAGAAATGATGCTGTGTTCCAGCACATCATATCAGGAACGAATTATTGTCAATTTATTCTATTACTGGTGATAACTGATTTTGATTACCTGGTTAAGATGGTGTTTGTCATCCACAGTAAAGTTACAAACCATCCAAATTATCTAGTTTCTCCTTTTATTTTTGTCCTCTAATTTTAGCATCCATTTTTGACTCTTGCCTGAAATAATTACTACTGTGATATTTGCCAAATAGCAATTTTCCGTTTCCACATAGATTTGTATTTTAAAAACACAGTCCCTCTCTTGCTTTCTGGTTTGTTTCCTTATAAAATACATGAAGAATGTTGTACCTCCCAGAATCGTCAATCATCACTTTGTTTTGCACTTTTCTTATTTATAAAATGTTTTATTTTGTGTCTAATAATCAGGGCCTATATAGGTAATGAAGAGATATTACCAAAATTATATTGCTTCTCCGAAACCTAGTTGAGCATCTCATATTCTACATCACTGAGCCATTATTATGTTCTGTCTTTAAATCAAACATTGCCACGCATCTTGTACTATCCAGGGATCAGTCTCCTTTCCCCTTATTCTACCAAAAAGGAAACCAAGGCATGAGAAGATTGCTACTTTAATTTCAGAAGCTTGATCGTCTTCTCTCCTGAAAGTTTGGTGTCTGGCTATCTGTTGGCAGGAGAGAAATCTGTCCTGAAGGAGCATAGGTCTTTCCTGACTGTTCCAGAATGGGCCCTACTATGAGTCAGAATCGACTCGAAGGCAATGGGTAATAAAATGCTCAGGGGCAGTGGTGGTTCAGTGGTACAGTTCTCTGCCTATGTGGGAGACCTGGATTCAGTTCACAGCCAATGCACCTCACGCACAGCCACCACCCATCTGTCACTGAAGGTTTGTTGTTGCTATGATGCTGAACAGGTTTCAGCAGAACTTCAGACTAAGACAGACTAGGAAGAAAGGCCTGCTGATCTACTTCCAAAAATCGGCCAGTGAGACCCTATGGTTCACAACGGTCAAATCCCGTTGTACATGGGGTCATCATGAGTTGGGGGCTGACTCAGTGGCAGCTAACAACAATAAAATGTTCATATCTTTGCCTTAAAACTCAAACACTGGCCTCTTTGCCTAAGAGTGATGTCTCAGCAAGTCTTAGATTGCCTGTTTGTCGGCAGAGAATCCTGAATTTTATTTTATGCCTTGTGTTTCAGCCTGCTGCGATGACTCAGGGCACTCAAGGAACAATCCGGCCTGCTTCCAACTTTGATGCCATGAGAGATGCAGAAATTCTCCGAAAAGCAATGAAGGGTTTTGGTAAGAAAACAGGTTTTTGTCTAATAAATTTAAAGTAACTGATTCTAATGTAAAGATAAATCTTATATCATAAACCAAGTTTATGTGTCAGCCTGTGTGCAAATACTTCAATTTGATATGGCACCTAGTGTCTTATAAGCATCCTAAGAAATCGCCTGAGGGAGCACCCAGCAGACTTTGTCCTTCCTTAAACATGTATGGCTCTTCCAGGGACAGACGAGCAGGCAATCGTGGATGTTGTGGCCAACCGTTCCAATGATCAAAGGCAACAGATTAAAGCAGCTTTTAAGACCATGTATGGCAAGGTATGTTTTATTTTGTTTTTTCTTTTCTGGAGTGAGCATGAACAGTGGCCCGTAAACTCCACATTCATGTCAGACTGGATACTGTCTTTGTACCTGTGGTACAAAGGAGAGACAGCTAGACTTCAGAGACCTCAGGAGCAGTGTATCACCTTGTTTTTCTTTTAAAAGCCTTTTTAATTCTAGAGTAGCCCTTGATCGCACAGTCATGCTTTATACTATGTCTTGTTTGTGGTAGATGTTCAGTAGAAAGTAGACTATTATGATGATCTTGATCAAGAACTTGATGTTCATCATTGATTCCAAGTCTTCTTACAGTGGGATTTAGGGCCTTCAGAGTATAGTCTCTGTTTATTCCTGGCCCTCAACGTCATCTTCCACTTGTCCCCTTCCCTCTACACATATTCTGTATGACAATTACATGGGACTTCTTGCTGCTCCTTGCACACACCATGATCTTTCATACTCTGTGCTTTGTATATGCTATACCTGTGGCCTAGAACACCTTTTCCTCTTTATCTGCGTGGCAAATGTCGTCTTCAAGATTCAGCTTAAATGTCAGCTACTCTGTGAAGTTTCTCGCATTGCTCTGGGCAGAATTTAGCTGCTTCTTCCACTGATCCCCTTGCACTTTGTAAAACCTCTGATATCACTAATCTCATCACCTGCCTCCCAAAATTGTGAGCTCTGTGAGGGCGAACCATGTCATATTCATCTTTGTATTTATAGCACCAAGTGCAGGGGCTGGAACAAGTAGCCACTAAATAAATATTTGTTGAATAAATCAGTGGATAAATCCAGCAAGATTTATGGCTAAGAAGTACCATTTCTTCTCAAATACAAAGGGGAAAACTGGGCAGGATTGTTTTGCCTTGTAGATAGGAATCCTAAAACTTCCCAGATGTCCTCTGGATCCAGTTTATGTTTCTCAGAATTGGGGGTCGAGGTTTGTCAGTTGTATGTACCTTTCCTGTTCTACTCTGCCTTTGCCTCTCTGCCCAGCCCAGATCCACTCCTTTAGTCTTAGGGTTGATCATGCAACACAAACCCTAGGCTCACTTATCTCACGAAGATATTTTTCATATTGTGAATTTCTTTAGCTCACATATAGTGTTTGCTGTGTCATCTTGAATTTTCTCATATGTTGCTTTAGAATGAAAACTAAATTCACAGCCTGCTTTCCTTACCCCCAGCCATTCTTCTCTTGACTTCCCATTAATTAATAAAATACTTTCTTCTGCCTGCTGTGGAATCATCTTTGGTTCCAGTTTCTTCTTTATCAGTCAGTCAGTATTTATTCAACGCCTATTGGATGCCAGGCACCGTCTTGTCCTAGCAAGCCAGTTATTGTCTGTTGATCTAATCTGTAAAATTACTCTTTAAAATTGTCTTTTAGCTACTTTTTCCCCCAATTTCCATTGCTCAAGTCCAGGCCTTTATTACTTCTTGTCTAAATATTCCAATAGCCTAAAAGTTCTCATCTATAGCCTCTTTGGCATCATAGACTATCCTACATATTGTTGCTACATTAATGCCATTTTCTTGCATCAGAGTTTCCAGTGGCTCCTCCCAGCAAGTCTTAGCTCTTTAGCTTGGCATAGAAGGTAGTAACCCAAGCATATAGTTACAGCTTTGTCTTACTAATTTACTATAAAAACCCTCCCCTCTAACAAAATTGGTCTTCTTATCGTTCCCATTAGACAAGCTTTGCTGATTCTTGCCTCTGTACTAGTGGTTCTCAACCCTAGGTGAGCATCAGAGTCTTCTGTGGGATTTAAAAACATAACACACCAAATCTCTGAGTCTTAGTCTTGGACATTGATATTTTTTTAAAAGCTCCACAGCTGATTTTAATGCAAAAGCCAAGACTGGGAACCCCTTCTCTGTTCCTTATTTGTGTTTTTTCTTCTTGCCTGAAATATCTTTCCTATTCTTCTTTGCGTGCTACTTTTTATGTACTCTTCCAGACCTGGACTAAAAGCTTTCCGTGAGCTCTTTAGCCCACTCTAAACTTTTTCTGTTTCAACTTTCTCGATTATTTATTTCTGTGCTACTCATCTGGTGCTGTTGTACAGGTTGCTTTATATAATCTCTTTTTAGATGTTTATCTTATCTTTTCCATAAGAATAAGATGATGCTGGTTTATTCACCCTATTGAACCTAAAACAATTTCTTGTATTAAATATTTGTTTATCATTTTGGTACTTTGAATTATTCTTTGTTTCATGTGTGTCTTGTCTTTGTTCCTGGTACAGTAGCAGAACTACAGTAAGAATTTATTCAGTGTTTATTGATAGAGTGAATAAAATATATCTCCTTGTTTATAACAAACTTAAATATACATATTTACTTATTTCTGAGTATGTAAGGTTCCAATTTAAAATTTAGGTTTTCATACAGCAATTCCATTTTTCCATATTTTCCTTAAAATATTTAAGCAACAACAACAAAACATTTTAAGCAACAAAATTTGATAAGAAAATATACTTATTTGTAATTAAACAGGATTTAATCAAAGATCTCAAATCAGAGTTAAGTGGAAATATGGAAGAACTGATCCTTGCTCTGTTCATGCCAGCCACTTACTATGATGCCTGGAGTTTACGGAATGCAATGAAGGTACTATACGTCATTTACTTTGACTATTTTATCCTATTTCATATGTAAAACCCTACAAATTATGGCCATTTTGAATTTACAATGATAGTTAAATCAATGTATTATTTCATACCATCTGGATATATAGAGCTTTTCAGTTCTGGAGGCCAAAGAAATATTTGATGGAACAGTAAGATTTAATTACTTTCAGAGGTTTTGTTTTTCTTATGTGTAATTCCTCTTTCTTTATTTCCTATAGGGAGCAGGAACTCAGGAACGGGTATTGATTGAGATTTTATGCACAAGAACAAATCAGGAAATCCGAGAAATTCTTAGATGTTATGGATCAGAATTTGGACGAGACCTTGAAAAGGACATTAGGTCAGATACATCAGGGCATTTTGAACGTTTACTTGTATCCATGTGCCAGGTGAGTATAGGATGAATATTTATGTCTTCGTGGAGGGAACATTCTTTACTCCCTATTGCCAGTGAGCATTCTTTATTCCTTTTAATATTTAGTGCCCTTGGAATCTTGCCATCTCTTAAGAGTGACAACACCGAATCTAATGTAGAGATGTCTTTGTAGTCACTATTGAGTTTATTTCTACAGACCTGGCTTTCATAAGGAATCAGAAATTAACCTCTTAAGGTTGTATGGAATCAGAAATCAAATTGAGGCTCTGTGGCTAAACTGATGAATCTGTACTTTAAGCTTTTCATTAGACTCAGTACTAGCAGGTTAGTTTGACCTTCAACTGAGGATATGTTGGACTGCCGTGGAAGTGCTATGGGAGGTGAGAACTCTGAAGAGAACCAAAGATGCAGAAGAATGTTTCAGGGTTTACAGTAATATTGTGGTTAGCACCTTCCTTATTCTGATCCCCAGATGTGCTGGAGAAGTGGTAGAAAGTACTCCACATAGGGTGTTTGGAATGATATTACAAACACACTTAGAATGTGATGATAAGAGTATATTTGAAAGAGGTGACGCAAAAGAGTAGAATGCTGATTCACTATCAGGAGTTATTAGCTATCCTGATAGTACACAAGGTTGGACAGTCTTGAGGAATCTCAGAGTAGAGGAAGGGCTCTTAAGAGTGAAGGGAGGCCCTGAAACTATTGCCCTGAGATAATCTTTAAACCTTACACCAGAAATATCCCTGAAGTCTTCTTAAAACCAAACAATAGCTTAACTAGTAAAGAGTGTCTGCCTTGAGCATTATGTTCTTTTAAGAGCTATCTGTATGGGATCAGATTGACAATAACAACTCAAAAGATTACATAGAAACCTTAGGGGGCAGTGAGTTCACGTCAGTGGGGGAGGAACAACTCAGAAAAGGAGGCTGAGAATGGTTGCACAACTCGAAGAATGTAATCAGTATCGCTGAATTGTACATGCAGAAACTGTTGAATTGGTGTATGTTTTGCTATGTATATTTTCAACAACAACTAAAATCATTTTTAAAAAAAGAGTGAAGGGAGGTAGTTGCATAAAGGATAGTGTACGAAAGTGTATGGATGTGGAAATGAGAAAAGTTAAGCAAGTGGGCTGAAGGAAGTTATGTTTACCTACAGCAGAGCAATAGCAGAGGAGTCGGCTGAGATTAGAAGAGGAACCAGAAAAAGAAAAAAGCAGACACAGAGATTTAATGCTCAAAGATGATTTTTAAAACCTTACGCAGGGTGCAGAGTTTGCTTTATGCAGGTTCCAAGCCTGGCCAGTTTGAGAAGCAAAGGGACCTCTTTCAGGGAGTGGGCAGAGCAGCAGCCTTCTAGGAAAATGGAACTATATGGTGTGTTTGAATCTAAAGGCAGTAGTCTGGGAAGTTTTTCCTGAGCACCTTTTCCTGTGCTGTACTCAGTCACCTATTTATAATATGCGTCTACCTTGTGCCGAGTGCTTTTTACTTCAGAAGACAGCTCCGCACCTTCAAGGAGCACCTCTCCACTTTGTTCCTCAGACATAGCACTGAGACTCTAGGGGGCAGGCTTTTCTTTGTTTAGCCTTGTGTTTCCATTTTTGAGAGAATTAAACTTGGCTAATCCATGATTCCCAGTATTGTGTGATTGTCCACCATTTTGTCATCTGATATGATTTTCCTAAGTGTTATAAATCCTACCTCTATGATGTTAATGAAGTGGGATTAGCTGCAGTTATGTTAATGAGGCAGCATGCAACTAGATTAGGTTGTGTTTTAAGCCAGGCTCTTTTGAGATGATAAAAAAGAGAAGCAAGGGGAAGCCAGCACAACTTGTATAAGAAAAGGTCACGGAAGCTTCACAGACACAGCCAAACTCCCTGAGGGACTGAATTGCTGTGTGGAGGGTTGTGGGGACCATGGTCTCAGGGAACATCTAGCTCAATTGGCATAACACAGTTTACAAAGACAGTGTTCTACATTCTACCTTGGTGAGTAGCGTCTGGGGTCTTAAAAGCCTATGAGCAGTCATCTAAGATACTCCACTGGTCTCACCCCTTCGGGAGCAAGGGAGAATGAAGAGAACAGGATGCAAGGAAAAGATTAGTCCAAAGGACTAATGGACCACAGCTACCAAGGCCTCCACCAGACTGAGTCCAGTACAGCTAGATGGTGCCTGGCTACCACCACTGACTGCTCTGACTGGGATCACAACAGAGGGTCCTGGACAGAGCTGGATAAGGATGTAGAACAAAATTCTAACTCACAAAAAAAGACCAGATTTACTGGCCTGACAGAGACTGGAGAAACCCTGAGAGTATGGCCCCCGGACACCCTTTTAGCTCAGTGGTGAAGTCACTCCCGAGGTTCACCATTCAGCTGGGGATTGGACAGCCCCATAAAACAAATCGGGACTAATGAGGCACAGCAGTCCAGGGACAAGGACTAGAAGGCAGGAGGGGACAGGAAAGCTGGTGATAGGGAACCCAAGGTTGAGAAAGGACAGTGTTGACATGTTGTGGGGTTGTTAACCATTGTCATAGGGCAATATGTGTACTATTTAATGAGAAACTATTTTGTTCTGTAAAACTTCATCTAAAGTACAAAAAAAAAAAAAAAAAAATTATCTATGTGAGATCAAACTGACAACAGCAACTCAAAAGGTTTGATAGGAAGCCTAGGGGACAGTGAGTTGAAGACAATGGTGATAGAATAATTTGGAAAAGGATAGTGAGAATAGCAGCACAACTGGAAGAATGTAATTGATGTCACTGAATTGTACATGTAGAAATTTTTGAAATGGTGTGTCTTTGGCTATGTATATTTTCACCTCCCCCTCCAAGAAAAAAAAAAAGGTCCTCCAAGGTCGAGAAGGGAGAGTGTTGACGTGTCATGGGGTTGTTAACCAGTGTCATAAAACAATACGTGTACTGACTGTTTAATGAGAAACTGTTCTGTAAACCTTCACCCTAAGTATAGTAAAAAAAATTAAAAAAAGAGAAGCGAGCAGAGAGACATGGGAACCTCATACCACCAAGAAACAAGAGCAAGGAGAATAGTACGTCCTTTGGACCTGGGGTCCCTGTACTGAGAAGCTCCACAGCCAGGGAAAATAGATGACGAGGACCTTCCCCCAGAGCTGACACAGAGAGAAAGCCTTCCGTTGCAGCTAGCACCCTGAATTTGGACTTCTAGCCTCCTAAGCTGTGAGAGAATAAATTTCTCTTTGTTAAAGCCATCTACTTGTAGTATTTCTGTTATAGCAGCACTAGATAACTAAGACCCATCTAAGCTTAAACTCTTGTCTAGGCCTATAGCTTCCTCCCTCCCTGCTTTCTTTTCTCCCTTCTATTCCAGGAAAGATTTCAATATACAAATTGGCACAGTCTAGCTGAACTTGAGTTATTTATAGCTTCTTCTAAAAAGCTCGTGTGTCATTTTTTTACTTAGATATTAAGATTACACTTGGACAAAGAAAAGGAAGTTCAGTGAAGCCTCCATATTATATCCTCCCTCCCTAGACTTAAACTCCTTGATGGCAGAGACCTTGTCTCTCTTGTGCTGCCCCCACCTAGCATGGTGCCTGGCACAAATAAGTGCTCAATACCTTTTAGTTGCATGAATGAATACAAACTGGAACTCAGTGTAATGCATATTGACCTTAAATCCCAGCGAAGGAGAGTTGTATGGGGCATTGGTGGTTCAGTGGTTAGAATTCTCACCTTCCATTGGGAGAGCCAGTTTGATTCCCAGCCAGTGCACCTCATGTGCAGCCACCACCCATCTGTCATTGGAGGCTTGTGTGTTGCTATGATGCTGAACAGGTTTCAGCAGAGCTTCCAGACTAAGATGGATTAGGAACAAGGCCTAGTTATTTCTGAAAATCAGTCAGTGAAACCCTATGGACCAGAACCATGTCTACTGTGCATGGGGTTGCCATGAATCGGTGACCAACTCGACAGCAGCTAACAGCAACAAGGAGAGTTATAATTTCTTCATTTTAGTAGTAGTTTGTATCCCCTATGATGTAGCGTCAGACCTTGTCTAACTTCAGGAGGAGGGAAGAGAATCAAGATCAGCTCAAAGCTGATTCCTATGAGGTGGAGGTCAACTTGCCAACCTTTTTACCAATTCTGATACCAGCTGTCCTCTGCAAGGCACTCTCTATTTCTCTGCTGGGTTTGGTAATTCATTGTAATGGCAACACAGAACTCACAGACCATACTCACAGTTATGGGTTTATTAGAGAAGCAACAATTCAGGATCAGGATCAACTTGAAAGTAACAAGATACAGGATACGGTTCATCGGTCAGGATGACGTCCAACCAAGACAACTCTCAGCTTCTTCTTGGCCTCTGCCACTGGCTCCTCCATAGGCAAGTGTTACAATGCAGTCAAGTGCCCAGAGACACCCCACTTCACCAGCAACCCTCCTGCCTGAAGGCATTCAGGTCTAGTTCTCTTGCTTCATGGGTTGGTGAGCCCACTGCAGCCATATCATGCCAGTCTCCTGGTTCTCACTGCTTATACCATCTTGCACTGTCTTGCGCTGTGTCCAGTGTTAGAGCTCTCTCTGTCTCCTGGGTCAAGGATGTTCTCAGCACACGGACTCTGGGTCCAAAGGACACTCTCTCATCCCGGCTCTTGATGATAGTGAGGTCCCCCTCAACCTCTGTGGGATTAGCCCTTTTATAAGCCTACTCTCCCCACCAAGACCACAAAATGACCAATCCCCTCAGTATGCCACAGTCACCTAATTTGCATAGTAATCATCCAGTCCCTGTAAGGGTTTTGTGTACCTTATTTGCATAGTAAACTATCCAGTTCCTTTGCAAGACTGTGGCCTAGCACATCATCCCCAGGGCCAGAAAGGCCATGTATAAAGAGAAACCCGTTGGCACTGCACCCTGGTAGAGGTTTTTGTTTTTGTTTTTTAATGGAAACCTTTTCTGGTTTAATTTAGCTCTCAAAACCCTGAAAATTTCTCATTTTAACATGACTTCATTAAACCATGATGATAGGTTATAAAGTCCAAAGATGACAGTGTAATAAAGTTCTAGTTATAGTAGTATAGTTTTTTTGGAAATGAAAGATATGCTTGATAGACTTTATGCATTTAACCTTTAATAAATTCTCTCTTTAAATTTAAAAGCGACTGTATTGGTTATCGAGCCCTGGTAGCGCAGTGGTTAAGAGCTTGCTTGGCTGCTAACCAAAAGGTCAGCAGTTTGTATCCAGCAGCCACTCCTTGGAAACCCCGTGGGGCAGTTCTGCTCTGTCCCATAGGATCGCTATGAGTCGGAATTGACTTAACGGTTTGGGTTTTTTAAAAATTATTATTGCTTATTGTAGTTTCTGAACTTTTTTTTAACAAATAGAACTTATATTACATTCTTCCAATTCCTGCCTTCCTCTTTTGCAGGGAAATCGTGATGAGAACCAGAATGTAAACCATCAAATGGCTCAGGAAGATGCACAGCGTCTCTATCAGGCTGGTGAGGGGCGACTAGGGACAGATGAATCTTGCTTTAACATGATTCTTGCCACAAGAAGCTTTCCTCAGCTGAAAGCCACCATAGAGGCTTATTCCAGGGTATGAGCTTTTCTGTTGAAGATTTGGTTCCTTTTTTAACATGTGCAAATATTTTAATCCCTGTAATTTTTTACTGCAGATGGCTAACAGAGATTTGCTGAGCAGTGTTAGCCGTGAGTTTTCCGGATACGTTGAAAGTGGTTTGAAGGCTATCTGTAAGATACTTTTATGTTTTGCTTTTAAATGAGTGGGGCTTTTGAATAGTTGTTCGCATTAAGTGATGGTAATTAATATAGCTTTCCTGGAATCTCCTTAGGCAGAGGTTGAGCTAATTCTGTGTTTTTAGATGAAATTCCCTGTGAATGGTTGGTGGTGTGGTCAAATAGGGCTATTTGGGGGTTAACTGGCCTTTATTCTGTATGCTCTTCTTGAGGACTATGCAAGAATATAGTACAGATTGTACGTCTTCCTTTAAGAAGTGTATGGAAAAGCCTCAAGGAACTACAAGCTCTACCACGCGAAGAGTCACTTTGAGTCCAAAAAACATCTGTCAAGTACTTAGCCTAGTGAAACCCTTTTTCCTTTTGAAATTATAAGACAATTTCTGGTGTCCTGATAATAAGATGTCTAATGAAATGGAAATTTCATTTCCCTGGATAATACTGAACTAAGGAGAGTGGTATTAGCAATGGAATGTCTTAAAATACTACTATAGTAATTGTAGCTAAAGTAATTATAAAAATAGCAGGAGGGCAGTGTCTGACCTCATCTGACTTCACAAGGGTGAAAGGGAATCAAGATCAATAGCCCAGTGCTGATTCCTGTGAGGTGGAGGTCAGAAAGATATGCTCTCTCTCTCCGCCATCTTGACCAGCTCTGACACCAGCTGTCCCTCCCATAGCACTTTACACTAGGTTCGATAATTCATTGCAGTGGCCATGCAGAACTCACAGACCATACTCATGATTATGGGGTTTATTAGGGGAGTAACAGGTTATAATTCAGGCTCAGGAACACTCAAGGATACAGTTTTTCCATCAGGACGGCCTCTTCCCAGCTGTGCTCGCAGGCACGCCTCTCCTTGGCACTGGGCCTCTGCCCAGAGGCACTCAGTTTTCTCTCTTTGGGCCGGAAAGCCCACCACACCATCTCCTGCTGCCGGGTCTCTCCTGCCACCGCTTCTTAGCGTCTTCAGGGTTATAGCTTGTTCTCTGTCTCCTGGGTCCAGGAGCTTCTCAGCACAGGGATCTCAGGTCCAAAGGATGTGCTTGACTCCTGGCTGTTCTTCCTTGGTGGTGATGGGAACTTCTCTTTCCCACCTCTAGGGTGGCTCATTTCCAGCTCAGTGGGATGACAAAACTGACCAGTCCCTTTGATTGGCCACAATTACCCTATCACACAGTCCTGCCCATTCACTGGGGTGGGAGTTAACAAGACCATGGCTAGAAAGGCCACACAAAAGCGACCCATCATACCACAGTAATAATGTAAAATTAGTACATCTCTACCATCTGAAGGAAGAAACTCTGCTAAGTGAATTTTTCTATATGAGAAAAGGTGTCAGATTTTTGAGCATCATTCTCAAACCTTTGCTTAAATCTGTGCTTTTTCTTTTAGATTACAGTGTATGTAATATTCATCTTTTATCGAATTATATACGTCTAGAATTCCGGTTTCTGTCAGTATTCCTTTATTTAAATAGGCTATTACTGGGGCACATTTGCTGTAGATTTTCTCCTTTAAGGGGAAGAGGTAAAGAAGTCACTGCAGTTATGGAGAGAACATGGGATTTATTGGCCAGAGGCAATCTTCTAGAATTGAAGGTAGCTTGTTTGATGCAGCTGGAAAGAAGAGTGGATGCTGAGAAAAATCAAGGGGGAGAACATCTCCATCTTACCTCAGATTTCTGACATGATTACGTAGAAAATAACTGAAGTGGGCCAGAAGTGATAAATGAAGCTTGGAGGGTGGGCTCGTCTGTCAAGTCATGATTCCGTGTCTGAAACAGCTCTCCCTTGCAGTGCAGTGTGCCCTGAACTGCCCCGCCTTCTTTGCTGAGAGGCTGTACTTTTCCATGAAAGGTGCTGGCACAGATGACTCTACCCTGATCAGGATCGTGGTCAGTCGAAGTGAGGTGAGGCCTTCTCTTTTTGTCTGGCCTTAACTTGATTCTCAGTGTTGATTACTTAAAAGTTCCTCAGTTGGACTATGGGACATAAAATGATACTCGTGAAGAGTGTGCTTCTTACTCAACTAGATACATGAGACTAAATGCGCAGCTCGTGTCCAGAGGTAAGATGAGAAGGCAGAGGGTCAGGAGCTAGTTGAATGGACATGGGAAATCTGGGGTCGAAAGGAGTGTGTGGTCACGTTATAGGGAGAGCAGCTAGAGTCACATAGCAATGTGTGTATAAATTTTTGTATGAGAAACTGACGTGAACTGTAAACTTTCACTTAAAGCACAATTGAAAAAAAAAGTTTCCTCGGTTGTCAGTCCCTGAGGAGTGGTGTTGAGAAGGAGCTCTCTTTGGCCCTGCTGGTAGAGATTGTATAAAGCACAGTATTCACTTTCCCCATGCTGTGATCAAGGCTTGCATCAGTGAAGTAGACCACCATGCCTTAGTGAAGGAAATACCAAGAGATTTTCCTACTTGAGAAGGTCTGTGGAGAATACTGGTTTATGGGAAGGTGGAAGACGTTTATCTTTTGATTTTCATTTTGCTTATGTAAAAAGCTGTGTGAAGGGAGAGTTCCGGCAAAATGGCGCTCTAGGCAGAAGCACCACGCCGTCCCTCCACAGCAAAGATCCAAAAAACTAAGCCAAACAGAGAATACAACAATCCTGAAACCCTAAAACATCAAATGAAGAGATAAAGAACTCAGCCAAGCACCAAATGGAGTGAGAAAACTGACAGAGAACGGA